TTGTAGAAGTTCTCCATGCACATAATAAGACCCCACGCAGAAGTGGCTCACTTGTTTATTGATTAGTTGCCATTGTCATTCAGCCAGTTCTCTGAGATATGTGCATTTGTGGGCCAAAGGCTCATATTAGGACATGTCTGGAGGGGTGTAAAAATGTAACGTGTTTCCTTTTGTAGGCTACTTCTTTTTATGGAGTGTCCCACTCTAGTTTCTTTACTTTCAATCAATAAAACAATGATAATGAGCCCCACTGTTTTCTTGTTTATTCTGTATATTTTCATTTTATAATGTAATGGTTAAAGGGATCATTTACACACCTTTTTTTTCAACTTTTTTGTTGTCCCAATTGAGTCCCAACAATTGAGTCCCAAAACAACATAGGGCCCCATTGACATTTTTCAAAATATTTTCTTTGGTGTTCATCAGAGGAAAGAAAGTCATAGGTTTGGAACAACACAAGGGACAGATATAATGACAGAATAATGACAGATGTTTTTTTTGTTTTTTGTTGTTGTTGTTGAGCAAACTATCCCTTTAATTCATTAGATGTGAAGCACAATAGCATTACGAATTCCATTTAGACCATAATACAACAAAACTTAACAAAATACATATGTATTTGTTTTGGTATTTCATGTCATAGTCAGTCACCCGCTATTGTGTCCTGCTTTTAAGTATGGTACTCTTTGGTTCTCCCCTATGTTTAGCCTGCAGTGTCTCAATCACTATTGCATAATATGATATATTTTGAAATTCTCGCATACATCAACAGCCTTATTATTTTGTCCACTTCAGCCTGTCACTCACAGCAGCAGTCCAGGGTCTATTAGCATGTGAGTGAGCTTGTAGAAAGATCAGTAGCTGGTGTGACTAGCTACTTGCAAGGGTGAGAAGGAACATCAGCTAATGAGCAGTAGTCGAAGATAACACAAAATAAACAAAACACAGCGTTAAAGCGCAGAATACCAGCTTTTTTCCCTCTCTTTGCCCCTCTTTTATCACACTGAGCGTTGTGTATGCCGATGTTGACTGCGCCTAGGACCCACTTGTCAAAATAGTATTTTTGTGGTTTTTAAAGCTAATTAAAATGTCAGTTTCGTGGGAAACCAGTCTTGGCTTTTAACTGCGGGTTAAGGTGATATCCTTTTTACCAGTGCCTTGAAAATGTGCTATATAGGGCCAAATGAGACGAAAAGCTTTTTTTTTTTTGTGCACTTTGTCCTCCAAGTCGAACCCAAAAAGTTAATTCGCATCCCTCTCTCCAAACCCCCGGCAAATATCACACCTCGGATGCATAAACATGCCTGAGCTCCACACATCAAGCCACGCAGGGGGCCTGGCCGGCTATAGAGCCGCACTGTGACACCAATCAGGAATGATGGCAGCCCTCTTTGTCATGCTAACAGGAATTGCCTCTTCTCTTATTCAAATGCTCTCCTTCTCTTTCTCCCTCCCTTCATCCCTCTCTCCTTTTCTACCTCCTCATAGGCCATGTAAATCCATACTTAGAGAGTTTGAAAAAGAGGGTGAGCGAACGAGAGAGGGAGTGAGAACTCCCTGTCCCCAGAACCGTTGATCGGTGGGCCTCTCTCCTGGGGGTCAGCGTGGCCCTCGCAGCGCCGAGCTGTTTCCATGCCCAGCCGAGCGCATTTCATATTCAAATGCTCCAATCAGGACTGTGACCCACGGGGGGCTTTTTTACAGCCCGGGCCTTGGGTCAGCGGGTCAAGATGGTGATTTAATAGCCAGGGCGATGGGATAAAAAAGGGAAAGGAGTGATTTAGTGACTGAATGAGTCATAAAAAAGCATTTTTCTTAAGTTGTCATGTAAATGCGAGTAGCCTGCATCAGCTTTTCCTTTTCCTTTTCCTCGTCACCTGGCTTAGGCACCTGCTTGTGCTGTTTAGACTAAAATCGCTAAAGACGTGTCAGAGTGACAGTATGAAAATCAAAGGTTTATGGTCCTTCTGGTGTGGTGTGTTATGGGGCAATCTTACCTGAGCATCTTGTTATTCATGTCTCGACAGGTGTGTTCGCTGCAAATTACATAGAGCTGGTATGTACGTGTAGGCTGGTTGTCATGTACTAATTATTCTGGAGACTGCCTTCGCATGTGAACAAACACTGAATAAAATTGATGTATAGGCCTAGTTGTCTTTATTATGTTTGCCCTCTGGCACACACTGTGTGAACACCTGTGGAAGCTACCGATAAAGCAGTTATAGCTTTAAGTAGTAATGCAACATACCAAAATGATCTATAGATTAATTCACCAAGTAGACTATAAGTTTTTCGTTTCAGTGCAGACAGAAACATGAATCGGACGAAACTGAATGAATCAGAAGCAAAGCAAAACTGTCAAGAAATGAGAAAGTATTTGAATGGTTTTATTTGATTTTTTAAAAATTATTTAAATTATTTTGAATTAATTTGATAACACTTTACAATAAGGTTTCATTTGTTAACGTGTAACTAACATTAACTAACATGAATGATCAATTTTTTACATTATTTATTCATCTTTGTTACCGTTAGTTAATAAAAATACAGTTGTTCATTGTTTGTTCGTGTTAGTTCACAGTGGATTAACTTATGTTAACAAATATACCTTTGATTTTAATAATGTATTAGTAAATGTTAAAATTATCATTAAAATAAATGCTGTAGAAGTATTGTTCATACTTAGTTTTTAACAAAAGTAGTTAACTAATGAAACCTTATTGTAAATAAGTGTTACCATTAATTTGAACTATTTAAAGTTTTTTCCATTAAAAAAAGGATAATCATGGCTAACTGTGCATTAAATAGAAGGCAATGAACCGCCCAACGTAAAGCGGAGGCAAATTTATTATCCTGAAAACGAAAACAAAGTGCCTCTCGGTTTTTCCTAATCGTCTCTAGACTGTCCTAAACACGCTGTAATATGCGAAGTGCTGATGGTGATGGGTGTTTAGACGTCTCTTGATTGGGAGTCGTTAGTATTTAGCTTAAGTCCGTTGAAATGTAAAAGAGGCCTGTGTGTGAGAGGCGCTGCGCTACCCGCAGAAGCTCAGTAGCAGTGCACCTCAGTGACTGACAGGTGGGTCAAAGTTGGGGATTTAAGGTGGCTCGGGGATTTGTGTGAGGCCCAATAGCCAGCCTCCTCTTTTACACTGATGCAGTGAAGTTTTCAATGCGTGATGATGTGTGTGAGAGGAAGGGAATTAAAGAAAGAGACTTTGCTTAATGTTGTGTGTGTGCATGGGTGAGTTTTAGCACAACCTTCAATGAGCACAGCTGTGTTAGTGCCTAGATGTGTTGTTCTCGTGTCTCACTCTTTATGTCTGTCTTTTTTTTTGGGGGGGGGGTGGGGGGGTCCAAGAATATGACCAAGAATATGGCGGATAATATAGGGATTGTTCCTGTTCTCTCTTCTCCTCAAAGTGATGTGCATCAAGACAACCATAATGACAAACCCATTTAATGTCAATTTTCTTTTACGTTGCATTGTTTTTTCATGGTTTTTGATGATGAATGTGTGACAAGCAACCTGTTTATGCTGGAATCTGCGTCTAACTTCTACCTACAGATACATTATTGTAACAGGAGTGTTTGATTGGATGCTCAACCTTTTGACATCAGCAAAATATAGTTTTCTACCCATTTTAAAATGATTATATGTTGCATTTTATTATTTGCATTTACATTATTTGCATTTTTCTTTTCTTTTTTACTTCTGTCAGAACATGACTGTAACCAAATTTGAGTATGAACTCACCAGTTGAGAACTACTGCACAACAGGTACATGTTTATTTCACTGCTCATGCAAATTAGCCCTTAATAATTACTAGAAAGACTTTCTTAATAATCCTTTAGTACTCCACAAGCAGCATATTGAGGATGTAATGCAGTTTGACAGAGCTCAAAGGATTTGTGCTCTAGACCCTCAAAGGCTTCCTGAGTGTCATAACCCTTTGTGTAGACCCTTCTAATGGAAAGGGTGGCATTGTAAGGCAGGGGAATCACTGAACACTCAGGGGAGGAGAGCCTGATTTTCAGTGACTCTAAGCTGAAAACCACCAAATTGTAAGAACAGTATTACTTTTGGCACATTACCTTTAAGATCATGAATATACTTCTTCTTTCTACATGAAATGTATGATATAACAATATAGCATTTGGTTTAGACACATTAGTTTGGTAACACTTTATTTTAAGATGTCGTGTTACAGTGTAATTATATATTTAAGTACTGAGTAATAATTATGTACTTGCTATAGGGTTAGGGTTAGGATAGGGTGTTGTTTGGGGTTAGTTGCATGTAATTATGCACAATTTATAATTCTGGTTGCACTTTATTTGACAGTATACGTGCTCTTACAGTGTACTTGCCTAAGAAAGTACTGGGTAATATAAGGTAACTACATGGGTTAGGGGCAGGTTCAGGGTTAGTACCCAGTTATTACATAGTATGTACATTGGGAACAGGGCTGTAAAATAAAGTGCTACCGTAATTCCTATAGTAACTACATGTAACGTGTAACAAGGACACTGTAAAATAAAGTGTTACCAGTTTTTAATATTAATAAAGCACATTTAAAAACAGTAGAATTTGCCAAATCTAAATGTAAAACAATGCAAGATTTCAGAGCTTAGATATATAAGACATGGACCTTAAACTTTTTGAATGGTAGTGTGTATTTATTATAAATATAATGAAATAGTATCAAAAGTATAGCTATGGACATTTGATCTCTACCTACAATATATTTAATAATACTGAATCTTAAAAAAATAAAAATTTAAGGTCAGACTACAAACACTTCTCTTCAAAATGTTCCCATACCACTAGCTCAGTGTAATCCTAAGATCTGTCAAAAAGATTTTTTTTTTTTTTTTTAGCTCTGTTACATGCTAGACCTCCCACGCAATAATACAGTTTTCTCATTGTGTGGTTTTCTCCAGAAAGCCTGTAAAGTCTGAGAAAATCGATCCAAACAAGCCTTAATTCTGTCATTAGGTGAGAGAGAGCCATTCTGTGATTGGCTGCCCATCTGCTCCATATTCAGAGGTGCTGGATGAGGCAGAGGGCCCGCTGGGAAAATGGTGTTGTAATCAGGAGCCGGCTGTGCTGCCTGATCAGGTATGAAGTCTGCTTCCACCTTCCTCAAAATCCTTCCTCATCTTCCTCTCGTCTCACTCGTGTGGTTAGCAGACCCCGATGGGAGCCTGTTCTCTGGTACTATTACACTATATGACCGTGGGCTGTTGATAGCTGGACGAAGAGGGGAGAACTGAGGCTGTGAGAGAGTGTATGTGTGGGCTTTGGGGGAGTATGTGATGTTAGTGCTAGTAAGTTGGGTGGGGGTATTTTTTTGTTCCCACATTTGATTATTCAGGTTGGTTGAACTAAATTTCTGAACCCATAAAATTCGGATCCCCTTTGGGGGCTATTTACATATATTTCAATCCCCCCTCCTACAGTCTCCCCAGCTTCTGTCTTTCCCTCCGAATGTGAAAAAAGAGGGCAGAGCAACCAGGCCTGTCTGGTCTTTAAGATGTCACTGTGGTGTGAAATATAGGCGAACAAGCAGGGCTTTGAAACTCAAACTTAACCCACCCTCCAATCCCCCCTCCCCTTCCACACACACACACACACACACACACACACACACACACACACACACACACACACACACACACACACACACACACACACACACACACACACACACACACACACACACCTTCTGTTCCACCCTCATACACATACTTACACACAGAAACAACAAACCACCCCTCTCCCTCCATGCCGTCTTAGTTGGTGAGCACTGTGCCCACTGAGACAGATCCATCTCTGGGGTCGCGTGTATGTTCTTGTGAGCACATGTGACAGTGTGTTTGTGTGTTCAATAGGCTGGTGGGGTCCAGGCACCAGGCGCAGATGTTCGGGACGGGCTGGCGAGGATGCACCTGTAGTCACTCCATCATGTGGCAAAGATTCTGGCAAGTATTGGACAAAACAGGTCATTTAGCATTTTATCTTCACTCAAAATAATAATAATAAAAAAAAAAACCTGTTATCATTTACCCACTCTCATGTTGTTCCAAATCTTTATTTTATCTGTGGAACACAAAAGAACATATTTTGCTAAATATATCAGGGTTTTTTCTTTGTCCATATAATATATGTCAATGGGGTCCACTTTGGACAACATTGTATGTGTTTTGTATTTTATTTTATTCCACGCTGCGAAATATTTTTATGGTTTTAGTTAACTATTATAACCATGGCTTAAATGTTTACATTCTAATTTAGATTTGAGTTATAATTATTTTAATATATTAGTAATAATTCATTAATTTAAGTACCTTTAAGCCATTTTGAGGCTCCTCAGAAGTTTGCTGAGGCCCCCTAGTGGGTCCCGGCCCCCTGGTGGAGAACCACTGGCCTATAGTTACACATTAAGTATATATACTGCTTAGAATAGGTTAAACCCTGATATGAGTGATATGTTGCATTGTTATTATTGGTAAAGCCAATGCTTAAGTCGAAAGTTACTTTTTATGGATGTTTGGAAACTGTAACTTACCGTTAATTTTGCATAACACAAACACATGTCTCCTTAGATTGATTTGTCAAGGGGGCGTGAAATAGTTTAATTGTTTCAAATGAACACACTCAAGCCCCCACGTTGTGGATTAATTTTCTGACCGAAGTCTCCGAGGGACAGGTCTTAAAATTCCACATGGGCCCAGTGCCTGGCGCCCCGCTGGAGAGATAAAGAGAACACATATGTAGCCAGGCTCATTCACGCTCCAGTTGAGCCATCCCAGCACAGAGAGTTACAGCTGGCATGATGGGAACACTTGTTTGTTTAGGGTTGTTTTTCTGCCGAGTGCCATGGTTTGGTCGGATGACACTTGTTTTGTGCGCTCCATCTGTGTATGTGTGTATGTGTTTGGTAAGTATCAGGAGGTTGGTGAGGGTGGGGGGTGGGGGCAGAGTGGCATTTAGTCAAATAGTGTTCCTGGCCCCCATGTATCACCCCTCCCCCCATTTCGGCCGTGTTCGCTCCCCAGTGCGCAGGCAGAATGCAGCGTCAGGAGCCCAAGCACTGAGCTCCCATTGTGTATGCTAAGCAAAGCGGAATGGCCGGGTGACAAAAGAGGGAGGAGTGGGGCTGAGGGCATACAAAGCCCGGGGTAGGGAAGGGATGGGGGGGGGCTAAATAGACCCACTCTGCCCCCCAAACCCCACCCATAACCCCTGTCCCCACCTCCGACCAACACCCCTCTTTCCTGTCCCAACCCCACTGGAGAAATGGGTGGCCACTCCTGAGAGACGGCAGAGTAAACTTGAGTCATATTTAAGAGAAATATGTTTTACTTTGTAAAATGTGTGAATGCAAGAAGCTTGAAATGCATAAAAAAAATTTAATACAAGATGACTGACATGTGAACTAATTCCGGTTTTGTATACAGTTCTGTTTATAAGTATTGCAACTTTATATATCACAATTACTACTTTATATTTGACGGTGTGACTATATCTCACAATTTTGTTATTTCTTGACTATACACTACCGATCAAAAGTTTGGGGTCAGTAACATGTTTTTTGAAAGAAATTAATTACTTTTATAATTTTTATTCAGCAAGGATGCATGAAATTGATCAAAAGTGACAGTAAAATATTTGTAATGTTCCCAAAGGTTTCTATTTCATATCTTCAAAGAATCCTGAATTATTTTTTTTCTCATGGTTTCCATAAAGCAGCGCATTATAATGATTTCTGAAGGATCATGTGACACTGAAGAGAAATGGTGCTGAAAATTCAACTTTGACATCACAGGGATAAATTACATTTTAAAATATTGAAGTGTAAAAATATTTTACAATATTACTGTTTGGACTGTATTTTAGATTTAAAAAAATGCATCTTTGATGAGCATAAGACACTTTTTTATCAAAAATATGACAATTTGTATTCAACAGTAGCTCATAATCACAACTCAATTTTATCATAATTCAGATTTTATGTCTCACAGTTATGACTATTTTGCATACTTATGTTTTATAACTGTTGGTGTTACTGTCATGTGTGCAGTATGTATTGTTTTGTGCTTTTGTGTTTGTCATTCTGTGCACTGTTGTTACTCTCTTTAAGTTTGGAATAGTTTAATGTAGAATTTGCACCAGGGTTTGTAACAAATGCAATTTCATTTCCCAGTGTATATATAAGGTTTAACTGAGAATAAAAGCTGATCTGACTTTATATTGTTTGGCTCGCAGAGGCTGAGACTGGGTGAGTTCCAATATACCATTTGGACCATCCTTTGGGCAGATTTGGATGCTTTTCTCAATGATGATGTTCAAGTTAACATCCGAATGGCCTGCAGTCATGGAGAGCTCTGATTCTGCCCTGTGGGCTGGAAGTTCACAAAGCCAGGGGCTGGTCTTTGAAGAACCCTCTTCCTCGTTCTGCCCTTCCTCTGCCCTCTCAGATGCAAGGTAACCTCAGCACATCAAAGAGAGGCTCCATACAGAGTCCACTTGATGCTGTTACCCTCCCACCCCCAAAAACAGCTCACAGCACCACTCACAGCACCACCTCCCCTTACACACATACTCCAGCCATTGCATAACACTTTACATAAAAAAAAAAACTAAAAAAAAAACTACAACCAAATCACCAGTCCCATCTGTTAACCTATTCACCTGCCCTCTGTTTGTCCTGGTGTTTTAGTAAGTGGCTCGCCAGGTGACTTCCCTCGCCTCTGTGATGTGAAATGAAAATCTAATATGCTGCTGTAAGACCCTCAGGGCAACAGGTCAGGTGCCCAAGACAATATTTGACAGAGAAAGATGCCACCACCCAAATGTGAGTGTGCGCGCCTGGCCAGAGGTGATCCTGAATGTCGCTCGTCAGCAAGCCCAGCGTTCTCTCGGCAGGCATGACCCGTGGAGTCATTATCCCTCCAGGTAAATCACCTCGCAATCAGTGTCTGAAGCCCCCTGCTCTCCAGATGATTCCCCTGCTGATTGGCCTAACTGGACTCCTGTCTGAGGAACGATTACCCTGCATTGTTTTCTTTATGGCACATAGATTGAGCTGTTGTTAGCATCCGCTTGATGGGTGGAGGCAGCATGCGTGAGGCCGGGATGCGAGGATGTGCTCTGAGGTCGCTCTCATTGCGCTTGATAAGAGTAACAGGAAAAGCATAGACAAGATTTCATTCTAATGATTTTGAATGAGCCCTTTAATTTTAAATGGCAAACTATGATTTCTTGAACAGGAAATTGTAGCCAAGTTGGTCGAGGTTACGGCCAGACTCATCAACGCTGAGACTGGAGAATGAAATGATCAAGATATAGTTGGAACATTTATTATTTGGCATTGACACTTGACACTATTTACAAATGATCTTTTATAAACTTGAGTTCCAGTAGTGGTCAAGCCTTATTGTATTGCCGTTTTTGGCTTTAGACCTCAAACACAACAAGATGCTCTACATTCTCAATGGCACAATTCCCCATGTTAAATTTCTCTTTTATACTGGTAAACTGGATGAATTCATGACCTACTGACAATAGTATTGTTCACACAGTATTGAGGATCTCTTACACAGTGTAACAATCTACATACAATCAGCACAGCAAAGTTCTGAGTGTTGCTGTAGATATTTTCATTAAAAAAAACATTGGCATATCGACATTGTGGTTATCTTTAGGTTAGTGGCTAACAAATATGGTTCTCTTACGAGAACGAGGTTCTCTCGTATTGCGTAAGTTGCTTACGCTACGGTTAAAGTCATCTTTTCTCGTTATCTGAAGCCAAAAGTTATCCTTAATTTTGTATTTGTCAACGCAGTGCAGCGGACAGCAGACCATAGCAGACTGAGTAAGTGTGCTCATTGGCTGTCCTGCGGCAAATGCACGTCAGCCCAGCGTGACGACGCGCCCTCTACGCGTTACAGCCCGCCAAAGTGGGTGTGACCAACGTGTATAAAAGAGGGGCTCAACAGGCTGAACTCTGATTTTCATCTCTTCAGCAAAGCTCTCCGCATCGCTGGATCTTGAGAAGCTGCCGCCGTCGAAGCAAGCGACCAGCAAGCTCAGGAAGCGTCTGAAGAAGCCGGCCGTCTTCACCACCTTCAGCAATCCGTGCCTGCTACGATATCCGGCAACAGTATCCTTTTAAAGCCTTCTCTCTGTGTGTGCTCGCCGCCGCGACACACACACTCTTATATCTAAAAGAGCGTGAGGCGTTTTTATCAAAATGCCTCGCTCCACCTGCGGCTCGTGCCGGGCCCCGCTCATCGCTGGAGACCGCCATCTCATCTGCGCTCTCTGCCTAGGCCGTGAGTGCCCAGAGTGCGAAGAACTCTCAATGTCGACCCTGCAGGCTCGACTTGAGCTCTTCAACGATGTTGCTCCGCCTGTCTCTGCTGGGCCATGCAGAAAGAAGCGCCACTCCCAGAGACCACCGGAGACCGACTTGGCGCCCAGAAGCCCGCCGGAACCCTTCCCTCGAGCTTCTCTCTCGCCTTCCCCGCCCCTCCTCTCTGACTCGCAGCCGCCGGTTCCCGCCTGCGCCGCTGCTTCAGAGGACGAGGCGGATGATCTGAACATGGACGCCGCCGCTGACAGCTGCTCTCTCTTGGCATCTTGACAGCGAGGAGTGGTCCGGTTCGCACTCCTCAGTCCAGGAGGCCGGCCGTACTCGGGCTGGTGTTGACGCGGAGCTTCTGCGCCTCCTCACCAAGCCGGTCGAACAACCCGGCCTCGAGAAGTCGGCGCCTGAGGAGCCCGCCCCGAACAGGCTCAACGGATACTTCCTCCATCGCCGCCGCCAAGCGCCCGCATCCAGGACTGCACCCTTTCTTCCGGAGCTCCACGCCGAACTCTCCAAGTTGTGGAACGCCCCTTTCTTCGCGAGAGTCCGCTCGCATGCCGCCTCGAGGCTCTCTCAAGTCGACGGCGCCGCGGAGAAGGGGTATAACTCCATTCCTCTGGTGGAAGAAGCAGTGGAAGCCCACCTTTGCCCGCCCTCTGGATGGCGTTCAAAGGCTACCCTCCCCTCTAAGGCCTGCAGGACCACTTCAGCCCCTTGTCGGCCGCGCTTTCGCCGCCGCCGGACAGGCCGCTTCAGCCCTGCACTCCATGGCGGTTCTGCAGATTCTCCAGGCCGATCTTCTCCGTGAACTGGACAAGAAGAGCTCGAACCCATCCGCCATCACGGCTCTTCGCAGTGCGAC